GGGGGGGGGGGGGGGGGGCTGCTCTTCTGCACCCCTAGGGTGCAAAGTCCTTCTCCCCATAAATTTGGGTGGGTCCTCAATGGGAACCAGAGAGCGTGTGTGGGCTGCCTTCCTGGGCACATGTTTCCCAATGGGAAGTTGGAGGGGGGCTTTAAAAAAGGTTTCACCCCCTCCCTTGGCCTCCTGATCTAGTGCTCAGGACCCCTCACCATCAGGAACTCCTTGCCATCTAACCTCAATCCTGCCTGCTGCAGTTTCAGCCAACTTCCCTCTCTCCTGAGTTCAGTGGAGGTGGAGAATGGCTGTTTTTCATCTTCTCTGCACTGGCCCTTTAGAGATTCATGGACTCAGTTCTGGCCGGGTCACCCTGTCTGTCCTCCTGGGGTGGAGAGTGGGCTGGATCGGACCATCATCTGGCCTGACAGCTGGCCCCTGGACTCAAGACAGAAAGGCCCTTCTAAGTCCAGATGGTATGCTTGTGTGATGGGTCCAGCCTAAGTCCCCTCCTCCCCCAGCTAACCCTTCAGCCTGTCTCCTCTTGTCTTAACCCCAACCCATGCAGCTGAGCTGTCCCTGCAGAGGGTGAGGGCTGTGCTGCTCCATGAATGGATATGGGGCTTCCTCCTGGGTCTGGCTCCTGCATAGCTCATCCCACCTCATCATGAGCCTCAACTGCCTACATCTTGGCCAAGCAGCACACGGGCTGCAGAAGGGACAGCCGACCCTGTCTATCTGGGACAGGTCCCCTGCAGGCCTTCTCCATCCTCAGCACCCTCAGCCTCTGTCCCCTGGCCTGGCCCCTCTGTTCTGTGAGTCACAGAGAACAAGGCTAGGCAACCAGGGGAAGAGGAAGAAAGGCCCCAGCAAGCCCCAGTGGTCTGGCAGCATCCAGCCACCATCGCTTAGAAGGATGCCCATGAGGAAGTTGGCCCTGGAAGCAGCCTGGTGGTGCCAGCTGAAGCCCCTCTTGGAGAGTCAGCAGGCTTGGGCAGCTGTTTCCACACCAAGGTGGTGGCTTCTCTGCAAACCAGCCCAGGGGAGGACTCCAGGGTGGACGGCCTTTGAGGTCCATCCCATGCTGACGCAGAAGCTCCCAGAACACTCAGGAAACCTCTCCGGACAGAGCCCTCTTTGTCAACCCAAGACCCTCCCAAGGCCTCTACTGCCCTCTGGGTCCAACAGAGGGGGTGGAAGAGGGGCCACTCCCTGCCACCTAGAGCTTCTCCGAATGACAATCAGCTCGTGCCAGGTGGGGACCAGGGCATGACCCCCGGTGCCCAGGTCCTGGGCCTGCTCCTTGCCACCAACCGAACCGTGAATGTAGGGCCCCCAGCTTCACCTCTGCCCCAGGACCAACAACACCCTGGTTTGGTGTTGGGAAGAAAAGGGGGCGGCCTGAGAGAGCCCCAGGCCCATCTGACCCCTAGCTTCACCCAGCACTGGAGCTGGGCAGAGACGCAAAACCCTGTCTGCTCTCGGGATTCCAGACCTCCCTAGGGCTCCCAACTGACCTCAGGCCTCTGTGTCATGGAATGTCACCAAGGTGGGGGAGGAGGGGTAGGGGTGAGTGTGGGAGGGGACTAGGGAACTGACTCTGCTCTTCTCCCCAGGAAGGATCCAGGGCAGAGGACACCACACCTCCCAGTGTCCCCACCCCCAGCTGCAGCCTCTTCCCCCTTGAGCATCCATCCCCTCCACCAAGCCCTCCTGGGCCTGAGCCCTTTCTCTATAAGAGTGCCACACCACCACCACCACTACCACCACCTCACCCCTCGAGCACTTCCCCATTATGACAAACCTGTGTCATTGGCTCAGACACAGGTCTGCTCACCCCAGAACATGCCTCCCCTCCCAAGCCACACTGTGCACGAAGCGGGTGCAGGAGAAGGGCCATGTCCCATTCATGTGGGCACCCCCCTTCCGGGCTCCTCACGGGGGCCTGGCTCAGTCTTCTCAGCTCCGGGGATCAGCCCTGGTGGGCATGGAGTGGGGGGCAGGGAGGTGCCCTCCCCCTCCCCCAGGGAAGCCACTGAAGAATGTTTACATGCCAAACAGAATGTAACACCCTCCCCCACCTCTTCCCAGTCACTGCATGGCCTCTGCCCACCCTGCACCTGTCCACCCCCACCCCAACACCCTGGAAGCCGCTGTCATGATTAGATCGGGTCTTGGAAGGGAAGTAGCCATCACACCATTAAAAAGCCTGTGGACCTTTCGTTCTGTTGGCCTGGACTCTTCTTCCTTTGGGGAAGAGGGAAAAGCCTAGGCACTGTGGCTGGGAATGGGCAGGGGAGAAGAGTGCAAGTTGGTGGGCAAGTGGGAATGGACTGCCATGGAGGCAGATTAGATTGTCTCTATGGAGATGGAAACAGACGCTCAGGACAGGAACAGATAAAGGGTCACACAGGTGGAAGAGGGCTACTGTCTGTCTCTGATAGCAAAGCCTCTGCTCTCTCAGCTCCCCTGGTTGTCTCTCCAGGGAGGCTCAGAGTCTAGCTTTGTGCAGGGAGGAAGAATTTGCATTGCCCCAAAGTTAACAGACACAAGTGAGTTTGGAAAACCATATAGCTAAAAAGCTCACAGGCAAGGAGAAACAATGGTCATTATTCTAGAAAAATCTATGAAAATTATAAATGAATGCAGCCTATGACCTAGCATTGCCACTGACAGAATCGTATTATGGATTCGTAAACTTGTGAAATTCCATGTGTCCAAAGTTACTCACTGCAGCATTTTCCATGGAGCTCCCCAAACCTCATCTGCTATCTCACACTCAAAACATTCTGGAAATGGGAGTTTTTTCACTAGATTCACACAAACTCATGTGGTATCAAAACTTGACAAGACCATTTATAGTCTTCATTAATTCCACTTATCATACATGTTTGCAATGGAAATATCAAGGTGTTGGATCCTATTAGGGTATTTCATAATATATGGAATACGCACTAAGTATTATGTGTGTATACACACACACACACACACACACACACACACATATATATATATACATATACATAATTTTTTAAATGTGAATTCCAAAAGAATTCTCATCCCAATGGTTTGGATAAGAGACTGTGGACTTGTAAAGGCAAAAGTTCAGAAGCAATCTAAATGTCCACTAGTTGGGGCTGATCAGTACAGCATGGCCAGCCATATGATGGGGACCCTATCACAGTGTACTGGGAGGCTCTACAGTGAAGGAGGTGTAGACACTTTGTATACACTTAAGGACTGGTCTCCAAGACTAAGAATAGGTAAAAGAACCATGTGTATGAGGTACAGCTATTTATAGATGAGTGAGGGATCTCTGGTTGCTTCAGGGAGGAAGGCTGTGGAGAAAGGGAGGCTTCACTGCAGTGTACTTGCGGTACCTTTTGTAGTTTGGACCCTATGTTCACCAGGTGTACAATTTTCCCCTAGGCAATACATAAACAATTTCTGTCTCAGGACAGGCTTCTGGCTGTGCCTGGGATCAGTGGTAAAAGAGACAGGTTCTGAAGTTCTACTTTATGACTCAGATGCAGCTCTGACATTCCAAAACCTGTGTAACCATTTCCTATTCCCCACCCTTGCCTCCTGGGATCCCCTTTCCTCTGACATGCATGCCAGGGGGCCCTAGGTCCTAATTTACCAGACTTCAGTGGGGCCCCCACATGCTTTCACCTTCCTTCTTGTTTAAAAATGTCAAAAGCAGGGGCGCCTGGGTGGCTCAGTCGGTTGAGCGTCTGACT